AAGGTTGTCATTTCCTTCAGTGCGCTAGGCAGCACGTGCAAGCAAGCCAATTAATCAAGAACTAAACTGTGCCATCAAGATACATGCAGTAAAGCTGTACCATCCTTTTCAGAATCACAGGTCCATTGAGATTACTTAGATGACAGGTACAGTAGCTTAGCAGACACCTGCACAGTATTTCACCCTTTACACAGGAAGCTCATTAAAGAATAAAAAGGTTAAGTGACTTGAACTGGGTCACACAGTGACCGCCCCGGCAAAGGAGCAAGCTCAGCTCAGTTGCTCCGACAGCCCTGGTCCATGTGCTACCAAGAAAAAGCCATACCTCTCTCACGAGCAGTTGTGTCGTGCTCCAGCATGCCACGTGCTCTTCCTCGGCTATGCCGCGCACACACGTAGGGCTGTAACTCAGTAGGTCATTCACGGGCACAAAGCAAACAGGAGAAAAGTAAAGTTACCATCTCCTGCTACTTTCCCCAGCAACAAGCCGTTTCCTTTCACCTGAGACAAAGTCCACAGAGGCTCTGATAACACTCAGCAGGTGCTAGCACAACCGCCAACCTGACCAAGGCAGCACAGGACCCTGGAAACACAAAAAGTCAGAATTACTTCAGTTCTGCAGCCCTTACTTACCCTTAACAGATGGACTGTGGTCAAATGCAGCTTTTGTTGCCGTTTCCTACTATTACAGATAACCTTCATGAAAGGGATGCCCTTACTGAGATGCCTATTCATTTTCTGTTCCCTGCTTCATGGTATAACTTACTAGACTGTGATAAAGAACTTAGCCAGACACAGATCAAGTTGCCCCATTCTGGAATGTGAGTAACTTAGATCTTACTTGCTTCAAGGAGGGGGAAGAACAAAAAAGAAAAGAAAAAAAAAGAGTCAAACAACAAGGATTCTTCCAGGAAAGCAAGGCTACTAAACATTACTTCCTCAGTAGCAATATAATTTAATTCCTTTGCTCCTGACTGTATTCCACGCTGGCTTACAAACAATTAGAAGTCACTGCAATATATGAAAAGTTTGCTAATAACAGTTTTTATTGGCTATTACCATAACATAAGCAAGCCTTACCATACCAGACGTACAAGAGACAACACAAGGCATCCTTAATCTTTACTACCAACTCTGCACCACATGTCATCTCTCACTTTCATTTCTAAGTAGCGACAGCACAGTTTGCAGCGGGAATGAATCACATTTAATACCAACTCACACGATTCCTTTGGCCTGCCCAGCTGTTTCTCTCATGAAGGCACTAATTGACTTTGCTATTGTCGAGTGGGAAACAAGTAGTAAAACACACCTAAAAACACGGAAAGACTCAGAACCGCCACTTACTTCGCCGAGAGCGCCGTAACCCC